CCAGAAGGTAACCTGGACATTGGGGGCAAAGTTGGAGCTAATAAAGGGAGTCCTACTGATTATCTGACTGTGTTGCCTTTGTGCCACACCTCTTTGGGTCATCACACAGTCATTTACTGATGTTTCGAAGCACTGAAAAAAAGTGATTTATGTCCATTTTTCACACTTACGGCCGTTGCAGCATCCCCCATGGTCACAAGATCAAAATTTGGATGCTTGACAACTGGTTCATAGTTATGACGGTTGCAGTGTCCTAGGGGCAGGTGACCCCCCCCTTTTGCGACCTTCTGACAAAGTCAGTGGGGGAAGATTAAAATTCACTTAACAACCGTGTTACTAATTTAACCTATTCACCACTGGTGTGATGCACTTCACAACTGTGGCAAGAAAGATCGTAAAATAGGGCAAAATTCACTAAGCCACTGTCTCACTTAGCAACATAAATTTGGGGCTCAATTGTCATAATAAGTCAAGGACTGCCTATATATTTCATTAGTGTTGATGGGGGGGGGAAACAGATGAGGAAGTGCTATGTACATTGTTTTGGTTTTGGTGTTTGTTTCTGGAGAGAAAGTTGACTACAAATCTAAAAAAAATAAATACATCTATCTATATAAAAGCGAAATATCACTCACACATCATCACAAAATCTCCAGAACCGTAAAGCTTACAAACTTGAAATTTGGCATGTATGTTCCTTTTGGCTTCTAGGTGCTCACTAAGAGAGGATTTTTCAAAATAACCATCAGACCTATTAGTATTTCCTATATTATTATTATTAACATGCTCTGATGCTAAGGAGTTCTACTCCCATTCCCCACCTGAAAAGAAATCTGTTCCAAATGCAAAACACAAAACAGAGGAGAGGAATTTCAGTTTCAGTTTTAGTTTCACAGCACCAAGCAGCTTTAGTACAGAACAGTTGAGCTAAGCCACACCCAGACTCCTTGCTGTCTCCTTTTTGCTCACACAGCAAATACTGCTTCAGTTTCCAAACAGCTCTCAACTCTCTCACACACTGACAGGATGCTAGCCAGATGAATACAGATGGATGCTGGTAGGCAGAGGCAGAATTTTTCCCCTTATCTTCCTCCCCAAAAACTAAGCCCGACCACACAGTTTTATAGCAAAGCACGGGTATCGAGCTAGTAAGTAATAAATGAAGTCCTTGGTGCTCTCTGAGCTTAGTGGTTTGATTGCAGACATTTCATTACCCAACTAGGGGACATCATCAGTATGAATGAATATGAGGTTTCCTATTTATTTATATACAGTAGCTTGCCCTGCCATTTTTGGTGGAGGTGTCATGCCCCTGGTGGAGACTGACTCTGAGGGAGAGGAGGAACAGCCAACAGGGAGTGGAAGTGTGGGTCCAGAGGTTGTGGAGGAGGCTGGGGAAGGGCAGAGGCCGGCTGGGAAGTCAGAGGAGGATCCAGGCCCATCCCCTCTCCATCCTAGGGCACGCAGGGAAGAGAGGATAAGGAAGAGACATGGTCTACTCAGGAGGAGAGGGCCTTGATCCTCTTCATGGGCTGCAGCTGTGACAACTGGATAAGAGGACGGACATGCGTACTGGCAAGTGCTGGAAACAAAGCGTGGAAATATCTCTAATTTATGGTTCCTCTCTGAGTGTGGCGTTCCTTCCCAGTGTGTGTTCTGTCATCTGTGGACGTCGTCCAGCCCTTATCTTGCCTGGTTTGTGTTGTTTTTCACACTTTATAATTTAAAGGGCATTTCCTCCTTCTTGTAACTGCTTGTGTGGGAGTTTTTTGTCTCCAGTCAAGGATATTTGGAGCTTGGAAGCAAAGTGAAGGAATAAAAGGGGCCTCACCTGTTTTTTTGTGACTGTGTTTATTTTGTATCCCACCCTGGGGTCATCAAAGGAGGCATGGTGTTCTCCTTGATCATTTCTTGGTGGTTTTCTGCTTAATTGTTTGTCTGGTCTTAATCCCTGCTTATCTGGGTGTTGGTTTGTTGCTGGAAGGGATACACTTTGGTCTTGATGTTTCTTAGTTCTGATTGTCTCTTTCAAATGGTGTGTAAATGTGGTTTATTTCTATATATTTACTGATGGCTAATTTGTCCGAACGCCAAGCTTCAAGAATTCCCTGGCAGTTTTCGACTTGGCTTGGATACTCACTTTCCCAGGAGCACAAAGATGGTACCCCATCTACCCCAGCAGTCGACAATTTAACATTTCTCTGTTGTTTTCTTAATTGGAGCTTTGGAGAGAGACCATTTCCACCGAGAAAACAGCGCCCAGAAAGAGGTCCTACTTTTCTCACACAACATCTGCTTTTTAGAAAGGAATACATGTTGTTTGCCAAATGCCTGTTTTATCCAGCCAGGCAACATCTGTGAAGTACAAGACCTCTTTCCTAGCCGAACTGTTCCCGGGTGCAGATTTGCTCAGAACAACGATCGACATCTGCCATCAAAATGATGCAAATAACTAAAAAAAAAAAAAATCCTTAACGTCTTTCCTTTTATAGTTCCTATGTGACCAATAGGAGGAGGTTGCTATCTGATTCAACACGATCGGTGGGGTGCCTTTCTAAGTGGACCCACGGTTGCCAATATGATTAGGCGCTTCGGACTCGTATTTTAAACCTACAGTTTCTATGACCCATAAAGATACAGCTGCTTTTCTCTCATTATTATGTGCCCTCTCAGTATAATAGAAACCAGAAGCAGATAAATTATGCATGGAGGACCCGTTCCTGCAGCAGGGAGTGAAAATGAAATCGCAAAGCGATTTCCCCCCAAATAATACTTTACAAGACATGGCCTTTTTCAAAGCGCTTCTCAGCACTGAAGCGAAGTTACCTTCCCCTAAGTCCATCTTAATTTTCCTCTGCCCTTCTAGTCAAAGGTATTATTTGCATTATTCAAACTGTGCTACTACATCTATGCTTTTTAAAGGAATAACCAGCCTTCTCGGTGCTGTCTTTAAGCTAATTGTATTTGGCCAGAAATTTTTAAAAGTAGAAGTATTATCTGCTCACTCAGATCATCTCTGTGGTTCTTATGCTGTATTAATTCATTGTGTGATAACTGGTGGATAATTACACAAAGGTAAAGAGTTCCCCTGCACAGCTATGTCTGACTCTACGGAGCGCTACTCATTTCCGTTTCCTAGCCAAGGGAGCCAGCATAGCCCGAAAGTGCTTCCGTGGTCAGGTGGCCAGCAGGACTACACACCAAGGCACAAGGAATGCCGTTATCTTCCCAGCAAAGTGGTACCTATTTATCTACTCGCACTTGCATGCTTTCGAAGTGCTAGGTTGGCAGGAGTTGAGGCAAGCAATGGGAGCTCACCCTGTCAGGCAGTGCTCAGTTCTTAAACACAGACCTTCAGCTTTCCAGATGACAAGCTCCACACCTCTTAATTGCTGAGCCATCGCAGCCCTCCTTGTAGTTCCTACACTGTATGAATTCATTGTGTGATAACTGGTGGATAACCGCAAACATTTTTCAAATAATAGCAATTCAATGTCCAGGTCTTTTCTTAACAATACATCTGTTTGTCATTGTTTCATCTGATATTTTTTTTTTCTTCATTTCCCAACCTAGTCTAACAACCATTGATTTTCTGGTGGTCTCCTATCCTGACAGTAACCAACTCTAATCATAATTACCATTTCTGGAATAGCTGAAGTAGGCTAATGTTGTTGTAATTAATGTTGAAGTGTTGCCAGAGATTTTATCATGCAGTAATATCCTGGACACGACTAACTTGCATTTTCCATAGTGTTAATTTTAAAGCAAAGATGATAGATAACCTTGAGTTGATCCACAGTCCTATCAACCCACCAGCTTCTATTTTCTTCCCTTTTGAACTTAATATTCCTTTTATGGATATTAAAATATCCATCTTTTTTAAAAAAAAAAATAAATTCTGAAAGGAGCCAAGAAGAGGAAGAAAAAGACCAGAAAGTCAAAACTCATTTGCAGCACTTAACAAAGAATTGAGTTTGGAGGAAGGAGGTTGCCAAACTCTAAACCCGTAAAAATACCATGTCACATTAATGGATATCTTTATTTTTTTGACTTCACCCTGACTAGAAAACTAATCTTTATTACAGAAGAAGAACTATGACAATAAGAAATAGCGTTATTAACCTGTATGTCCATTCACCTTCACTGCTGAGATGTACACAACTGTAATGATCATTACTATGTCGATATAAGAGTAATTTTCTCTCCCTGGGCATTCTGTCTTCCTGTCCACTTATTGGGAAACTGACCAGCATTTGCTAATAGAGCCAAACAGAGTTCTAAAGTGCAAAGGGACTGCAAAATGATGCTGCCCATATATTAGTTTTTGCCTTGAGAAACCCGCTGCTAGTTTATATGTACAACACAGGCGGTTCAGTATCTTATCCTGTGTTCGCCTCCAATAATACTGCTAACTCAAAGCATATTGAAGAGAGGAGAGGGGAGGGGAAGGGAGAGGAGAGGAGACAAACGGAGGGAGGAATGCAAGGGAAGGGAGGAAAGGAGAGACAAAGGGAAGGAGGGAAGGAGGGAAGGAAAGGGGAGGAGAAGAGGAAGAGGGAGAGGGGAAGGGAAAGGAGCGGAGTTATAGTAATTTCAGCATGAAAATGGTTGCATGAGACAAAAAAAACGCTATGAATTGCTAGCAGGAAAATAAACCTACAATATAACAGAACCAAGAAGAAACCTGGTATAATCAAAGGAAGGAATTATAAATTGTCTCAGACATTTGGGCTGGGGTGTTAGGTCATCCCTCTTACGTGGTTGGTTGGTTAATTGCCGTTTCATATTGACTGAAAGTTGGAATAATCTATTTTGACCTTTGGCCCACGATGTATTGATCGACTCGGGTTCCATTTTTTTTTTTTAGAACAACAAAAAAAAAAGTAGAGTTATTTTCTTTTCTGCTTTTAGTTTCTTGTCAGACACTCAGTAGCAGAAAAAGAAGCAGCATACATTGCTTAAATAAACACATAAAAAATAAAATTTCCCCAACAGCTTACCTTGGCAACGTGCTCAGTGGAACAGTGATCGTAAACTGATTTCCCCTTCTCCTGATGTTCATGTACCTCAGATCTGTCAGACCCATCTGAAGCCACTATCTAGAAAAGAAGAATGAGTGTTCACCAAACAGTCTTCCCAACAAACAGATTCACTGTTCCTAAAAAAAAAAAACAATATTCCATTTTAATCCAAAACCCATAATAATATACCAGAGTTGGAAGGGACCTTGGAAGTCTTCTAATCGAACCCCTCTCCAAGCAGGAAAACCTATACTATTCTGGATAAATGCTTGCCCAATCCCTTCTGTACCCTCTGACTATCATTAAGCGTTGAATCTTATGATTCTTGACTCTTGACAAATGTATCTTTTCTTTTATGTGTACTGAGAGCATTTGCACCAAGACAAATTCCTTGTGTGTCCAATCACACTTGGCCAATAAAGAATTCTATTCTATTCTAAAAAAAAAACCTCCGGTCTTGGAGTGTAGGAAATCAGAACCTACCCATCCTAGAAGAATGAAATATTTTGGGAAATATATTTTAAAAAGGCACAATATTACCGTGTTTTTTGCACTATAAGACGCACTCCCCCTCCCCCACAAAAAGTGGGTCTTATAGAGCGAATGTTGCCGAAGCCACACCCATCTGCCAGCCCCCACCCTTCGGCCATTTTCGGCCTTCGTGTGCCCTGTTTTCGGCCTCCGCGCACCCCTTTTTGGGGCTCCACGCATTCTGTCTTTGGCCCATTCCAAGCAGCGGCAATTGCCACAGCTGCTGACTGCCACCGATTGCTGTTGCCACCCACCACCGCCAAATGGCAGTGATGGTGATCCCCGCTGCCTGGAACGGACCAAAAATGGGACAAGCGGAAGCCATAAATGGGGTGTACAGAGGCCAAAAATGGAGTGCACTGAGGGGCAATGGGTGGCAGCCATCCCCACAGCCTGGAACAGCTGATTGGCGGTATTCCAGGAGGCTGATCCAACCACCAACCAGCTGCTTGTGCTAAATCAGGCTGTACTGAGGCTGACCAGGCTGTTTGCTGTTTGCTGCAAGGGGACAAATTGCTGGGAGGCAGAGGCAGATTTTTTTTTTCTTGTTTTCCTCCCAAGGCTAGGTGCATCTTATGGTCTGGAGCATTCTATAGTGCAAAAAATATGCTATATTTCCCCAAAGGGAGAAATGGGTAAACATGTTTTTTAAAGGCAGGTACTAACCCCAGTCTCCCTGCTCCCAAGCAGAAACTGAGGAGGCAGCTTTTAGAAATGCAGATTTGGTAATCCATTCCAGACAGGAGGTTTTGAAACTCCCTGCAGCTAAGACTGAACTAAGTCGGAACTAAGGCAGAAGGGTAGGATTAGCCCTCATTCAAGATCCAACACAGGCTGAAAGCCATTAAGCCACAATAGGAATTGCCCAACACCCTTTCAGAACACAAGCCCCTTCATTACATCATCCCAGAGCGGTCCAAACTTCACCTGGGAGTTCAGATAATAAGCCAGAGGCTGACCAGATTACCTCAGACAAGGAGCTAGGTTCTGCATTTCCTCTTTTGCCTATAGAGCCAGCTGTGACCCCTACATAACCTGACAACAGCCAATAGAATACATGTTCTTGCACAGGAACAGGAAGCTCAAGCTCAAAGAAGCTATAGCTCAACTAAGCTATAACACCCCCCACATACACAAACCCTCTCAACTCCATTTTGTCAGCTGCACCAGAACCACAAACCCATGTGGTTCTGCTTCATCAATAAACCATCTTTCCAATCAGCCTCCATGTTTCCAGTGTCTTTCTCCCAGCTTGGAACTGAACCAGATGGATATTTCTTCCCACAGGAGCATGCACAACTTCTGGTGGCAAGTCATTCCACTGCTTAATTGTTGTCATTGTCAGGAAATTTCTCCTTAGTTCTAAGTTGCTTCTCTCCTGGATTAGTTTCCATCCATTGCTTGCTCTGTAGAATATTCCTTTCCCCTCTTTCAACCAATACCCATCTTGCATAAATACATAATCCAAGCTGTTTATTCAACGCATTGCCATAAACAACCACAATATGGCATTTCCTGGGAATAATTCCATTTACAACACCGCCTGTGGTATAACAACCATCCCTAGAAAACAGTTGTCCTTCTTTTCAAAATGCATTGGATGGGCTTTTGAGTAGTAAACCAGCATATTAAATCAAATCAAATTTTTATTATGGCCATAAGGCCTGCAATCAGACACAGAATGAAACAAATAAATATGAATATATAAACTAGAAGAATATATGTGCACCAAAAGATAGGAAATCAATATAATTCTACAGTTGCAAAAAGAAGTGGTTGAAACATATAGAGGAACAGAATTGAATGACCGCCAAGGATATGTCTCAATATGATTTGATTTTATTCGATTCAGTATGAGAAATATGTTTTGTTTCCTAATAAACTATGTCAGGTAAATCTCTGCACTGGCATTGGTGCTATTTTAAAAAATATATATTTACAGGTACTCCTTGGCTTACGACGACAATTGAGTCCAAAATTTCTATTTCTAAGCGAAACATTTGTCAGGTGAATTTGTCCCATTTTATGACCTTTCTTGCCATGGTTGTTAAGTGAATCACTGCAATTGTTAAATTAGTAACGTGGTTGTTAAGTGAGTCTGGTTTCCCGGTTGACTTTACTTATCAGAAGGACGCAAAAGGGAATCACGTGTCCCAGGGATTCTGCAATTGTTATTAATATGAGTCAGACCAACCTCTCCGTAGAAGTCATGGAAGGGAGGGAAAGAGGGAGGGAGGGAGGGAGGGAGGGAGGAAGGAAGGAAGGAAGGAAAGCAGGGAGGAAGGAAAGAAAGAAGGAAGGAAGAAAAGGAGGGAAGGGAGGGAGGGAGGATGGATGGAAGGGAGGGAGGGAAGGAGGGAGGGAGGGAGGGAGGAAGGAAGGAAGGAAGGAAGGAAGGAAGGAAGGAAGGAAGGAAGGAAGAAAGAAAGAAAGGGAAGCAGAGAGGAAGGAAAGAAAGAAGGAAGGAAGAAAAGGATGGAAGGGAGGGAGGGAGGGAGGAAGGAAGCAAAGAAGGAAAGAAGGAGGGAGGGTAGAAGGGAAGAAGGGAAGAAGGAGGGAAGAAAGGGAGAGTGGGAGGGAGGGAAGGAGAAAGGAAGGAAGGAAGGAAGGAAGGAAGGAAGGAAGGAAGGAAGGAAGGAAGGAAGGAAGGAGGGAGGGAGGGAGGGAAAAAGGAAGGGAGGGAGGAAGGGAGGGAGGAAGGAAGGGAGGGAACTCACAGCAATATAGAGGAATTCAGTTACAGTGACAATGGGGCGGTGTTGGGGCCAGGCTGACCTGGGAAAAATATCTATGTGGTTCCTAACAGGCAACGGTGATCTAATGGCACATAATGGACACAACCTGGAGAAGGTCCATCTATGTGGTCACTATGAGTTGAAATTGACTTGAATGAAAATAACAATCACTGGGTTCCTCATTGACTTTGCTTGTCAGAAGGTCACAAAAGTTGATCACGTGAGCACGTCAGTTGAGAAAAATCCAGAAATATTTCACAAGAAGAGTTCTCCACTCCTCTACTCGTTGCAGAATACCTTATGCCACCAGACTTGAAATTCTAGACCTAGAAAACCTAGAACTAAATGTCCTACCAGTCAATGAATACTTCAGCTTCAACCATAACAACACAAGAGTATACAATAGATACAAACTCAAGGTTAACCGCACCAAACTTGATTGCAGGAAATGCGACTTCAGCAACAGAGTGGTCAATGTCTGGAATACTCTACCTACTCTGTGGTTTCTTCCCCAAACCCCAAAAACTTTAACCTTAGACTGTCTACTATTGACCTCACCCCTTTCCTAAGAGGTCTGTAGGGGGCGTGCATAAGCGCACCAACGTGCCTACCGTTCCTGTCCTATTGTTTCTTTTATTTTTTTATTTTTCTTATATGTATCCATGTATTCATAACTATGTTTTTACTTATACCTACAGTATTATCTTGTAAGCAATTGACAAACCAAAAAAATATATAAAAAAATAAAAGCCTGGTGGAATTTGAACTGCCAAACTCTAGGCAGCTGGCTGCAAAAATAGTTTGCAGTACTACACTCTAACCACTGTGCCACAGAGGGTCCTCCTATTAATTCTATTACTATATGTCCTGAAGGGTTGTGTTCGGTTCTTAATCCCATCACCCTGAAGCTGAAGGTCTTTTGTTTTGTAGATAGGCTGGCTTTGTCATATTTAAAGGGCATAAAATATCTGCGGTGGGTGGGGGGGGCGGGTATTAAGAAAGAGTGAGTCTGCTTCCGGCCTTTAAAAAAACATGTTTCTCCATTTCTCATTTAGGGAAATGCAATATTCTGCCTTTTTTAATATTCTTCAAAATATTAGAGCAACAAAGATGATTAGGGGAGTAGAAGCTAAAACATCTGAAGAATGGTTGCAGGAACTGGGTATGTCTAGTCTAATGAAAAGAAGGACTAGGGGAGACATGATAGCAGTGTTCTGACATCCCAGGGGCTGCCACAAAGAACAGGGAATCAAGCTATTCTCCAAAGCCCCTGAGGGCAGGACAAGAAGCAATGGATGGAAACTAATCAAGGAAAGATCCAATCTGGAACTAAGAAGAAATTTCCTGACAGTTAGAACAATTAATCAGTGGAACAACTTGCCTCCAGAAGTTGTGAATGCTCCAACACTGGAAGTTTTTAAAAAGGTGTTGGTTAACCATTTGTCTGAAGTGGTCTAGGGTTTCCTGCCTAAGCAGGGGGTTGGACTAGAAGACCTCCAAGGTCCCTTCCAACTCTGTTATTGTATTGTATTTTATTGTATTGTATTGTATTGTATTGTATTGTATTGTATTGTATTCTGTTCTGTTCTGTTCTATTCTGTTCTGTTCTATTTCATTCTTCTGGTAGGGCAAGGGCTTCCCACAAAAATGTACCAGAAATGAATAAGAAAAGTGCAAATAACTGAGAAATTATGGTAAAGCAACGATAGCAGAGCAATATTCTCACTGATTTCATTATATGCGCTTTGAGTTAGCAGAAGGTAGAATTTTCCTTATCAAAGCAATTGATGTATCAAGAAATATCCACATTAC